AAACTATGGAAATTGCCAACTTGCAATCGGAATTCAATTATTTTCTCAGCACTGAAGGCAGTCAGACTGAGCTTATAAAGGCAGAAAATTCAAGTTTGATTTTTCTACTGACTCTGTGGAATAATTCTTATTTAAAAATAGCTAATAACATAGATTTGGGGGAAAATTGGCTCATTGTGGGATTATTACCCATAACCAATTATTAAGTAATGATACCTTTAAAATGTTTGAGATTTTTACCTGTAAAGGCTGAATGACAAAAGCGGGGCTGACAACTGTGGCGGAATGAAGAGCGGGCAAGTAGACTGGCTGTTCATAATTCCTCTCCAGATGAGAAGAAGACTTGAGATTGCCCACAAGTGCTCCAGACAGCTGCTCCTCATGAAGAGACCGTAAGACAGCAGTCTCTGGTGGGCGTAGAGCTCTGGGAAATGAGGGAATAGCCATCTTGCTCAACTCATGGTTGGTGCCTTCAAAAGGAGACTGGGTTCGCATATTTCCTTTTCTAATCACTTTCAGAAATTGCTTGTTAACTGCTTTACAGCTATTAGGAACCTTCGGACTGACAGGTTTTACAGCACCAGGTGAGTTTCCTTCAATCCTTAGCAAAAATACAACTTTAAATACAAGTTTAAGAACTTAAATTTTTTTCTTTTGGAATAAACAGCAAAATGGTGACTAGAACTTTGATTTTGGAAAGTTACAAACAGACTAAGGGTCCAGATGGATTTGAAATAAGATTTTGGAATTAATTATGTAGAATCCTTCATGTGAGAAAATGCTTTTGTTTTGAATTCTCTTAAAAAAATTATAGGATGAGACTTTGAAGATTGGACACTAGAGGGAACCAGAAGAAACTAAAGATTGCAATTAAAGGAGGAGAACACTCAAACTCAACTTACTAATACAGGATGAAGCAAAATATTTTAACATTGGACATATTGAAGGATATTTTTGAACAAAGGACCCAGAAATTAATTTTAAAAGTCTCTGCTTCCATAGACTGTGTTTGAAACATGTTATGGAAGAGGAACAAGTTTTACCTGACAAGATGAAGACTTGAGTTGAAAGTGGATTTCTACAAGAATGACATGGAAAAAGATGTTACACTGGGCATGCAAAAGAAACAGGCTGTCTTAATAATTAAAAGGGATATACAAATAACAAACCAAGAGAGTGACCTGGATAATTTTCCAATACAGCCGTTATTGAAGCGAAAGTTGGACTTTGAAGAAGCAGCATAGAAAGAGTATTAATGGACTTTTGCTGATGAGGACTGAACAACGAAGGTTTAAGGATTTGTTTAGAGATAAGAGAAAGGATATGGGAAGAAGAGATCATTTGTTGTATTTTAAGAGAAAGTGATAAGTTACTAAAATTGTTTATCCTTGTGATGAAGGGGAAAGTCATTTCTTTTTGTATTTTTCTTTTTCTTTACTATATTCTTATTTTTTATTCTTTTCTGTTTTTCTATTTTTTCTTTTCTCCACCTTTTACTTTTTCTTTTTATTCTTTTTTTTTTAGTTTATATTAGCTTTTATCTTTGCAATTGTATTTTTTAATAAAATTACAATAAAAAATAGTGACAATGACAATACTATCGGTATTGACTCTTAGCAACCACACAGATATTTTCCAGGGTGATCTGTTCCTAGCTTGGTCCTTTGGATCTTCCAATGCTGCACTTATTGCTGATGTAACTGAATCCATCCACCTTGCTCTGGTCATCCTCTTCTTCTCTTTTCTTCCACTTTTCCCAGCATTGGTGCCTTCCCCAGAGAGTCCAAAGTAGGATAATTTGACTCTGGTTGTTTGTGCCTCAAATGAAAACTCTGGATTGATTTCTTCAATGATCCATTTCTCTTGGCTATCCATGGTATCCTCAGGCATCTTCTCCAACACCAAAGTTCAAAAGCATCAATACTCTTTCTACACTGCTTCTTCAAAGTCCAACTTTCACTTCAATAGAGTGTCACAAGGAAAACCATGGCTTGCATGGTTCTGATCTTTGTAGGTATAGAGACATCATGACATTTGAATCTCTTTTCCAAGGCCTTCATCACTACTGTATCAAGCAGCAATATATGGTGTGTTTCTTGACTGCTGGTTCCTTTACTGATGATAGTCAATCCTAAAAATCAGAAGCTCTCCACCAATAGCTTCAATATCTTCACTGTCAATTCTAAGACTAGTGGATGTACCTGTTGTTCTTAGTTTGGTATTCTTTAATATTAGTTCCATTTTTTCACTGCATTTTCTGACTTTCATTACTATGTTGATACTGTATATTGATCAGGGTTTTTTTGGTTTTTTTTGCAAACATTTACCCCATGTCCCAGTGACACTTTCTCAGCACAACAGTTCAGATGTGGGGCTGACTTGCAGTATTTGTAGTCTGTATAAGAGATTAATTGGGGGAGGGGGTTGGTGGCTGGAGATTTCCTGGGAGGAGTTGATTAATTGGTTGCTGGGAATGGTGTAGTCTCTATTTTGATTGGTTCACCTCATCTGCTTGTTGTGTGCCTGACAGGGTGGTAGATCACACCCAGCTTTACTGATCTGATGGCCCATTTTTGTTGTGACAGACTTCTAGGAATTATCTGGCTCTCCAGCTATTTCTGTGATCTGTTATTTCCATGTTTTCCTGCTTGAATGTGTGATTCATATTGAGGGCATGGATGGCTGTTCAGTATTTGTGATGCTGGCCATTGTGTTGTGCTCCAGATTTGCTGGCATAGCTCGGTTAGAACCCTGACTAGTTCTTCTTCTGGTGCTTGCCATACTTCAGTGGGTCCTCCATCATCTCCTGTAGCCTTCCGACTTGGCCATGACCAGAGCGCTTCATCTTCTAGTACTAGAGGTTCTTGTAAGTAGGGAGTATCTTCTAAGCTATCTTGGTTGTTGACATCTCTACTGTATAGTGTTTCACTATTTGCCTTCCATCTTCGTTTGATCTACTTTGAACCGGTTACTATCTGTCCGTTGGTGTCCTTCAGCATACCAATTTGAGGCTGGAACCTGACTTCAGAGATCTTTTGAAGACTTTCCTTTTGTGTCTTCTGTTTCCATGTTCGATACAGAGGGTGTCACTATATTCTTTCTTGTCTCTTCTAACAGCTCTCTGAAATTCATCGTTAAGTTCTTCCTGAGATTTTCATCTTTCTTGTCTTGGGCCTCTCTTCTCTTCTTGACAATTTCCATGGTTAGTTCTGGACATTTCCAGTTTGCTTTCTCCTGATTCTTGGTCTTTGGCAATCTTCCTTCCTTTTTACAAATTAGCCCAGGGCCTGAGAGAAAAGCCATGTTTTAAGGCAAAGCGGGGGGGGGGGGCACACAAATCATGCTCTAGTCACCTCACAAATGGATTACTGCAATGTACTCTATGTGGGGCTGCCCTTAAAGACCATCCAAAAGCTACAGCTGGTTTAAGATGCTTTCTGGTGCGGTAACTGACACAGTCTGGTTCAAAATGCAGTGGCACAAACAGTATCAGGTTTTTGGTTTTACTGTATTTTTATTACAGTAATTTTTTTATTACTGTACTGAGCCACCCAGAGTTGTCTTTCATAAAATGGGTGGCTGTATAAATAAACCTTTTAAATAAATAAATACTGCATACAATTCTGGGCACCACATTTTAGGAAGGACACTGATGAAAAAGCAGTGTGATGTTGTGGCTAAGATGTGGGCTGCACTGAGAGGCCCAGGTTCTAATCCACCCTCACCCACAGAGGCTCCCTGGGTGACTTTGAGCCAGTCCTTCTGGCTCATCCCAACCTCCCTCATAGGGTGGGCTGTGGAAACGCAGAAGAGGGAGTGCTGGGTTTGAGCTCTTGAAGGAAAAGTGAGATATCAGTCAAATACATAAATCTATAAACCAGGAAGTGTCCAAACGAGAGCAAGCGAACTATAAAGAGGCTTGGAAAGAACATCTTATGAAGAACAGTTGGAGGCACTGGAGAAGAGGCAACTGAAAGGAGAGAGGAGAGCTGTCTTCAACTATTGGAAGGTGGAAGAAAGGGGACTATTTTCACAGTTGTTCCAAGACAAGAAAAAACAGCTTTACATTTTGAGGAAGTAGATGATGATTCGGCATCATGGTAAGAACTGTTAGCAATGGAAGGTGGTGGACACTCCTTCACTGGTGGTATTTAAAGCGACTGGACAGTCATCTGTTGGGGATTCTCTAGTGATGGAATTCTGCACTGGATGGGGTTGGGCTAGATGACCTCCAAGGTCATTTATAACTTCTACATTCTAGGGTTCTATGAGATGTTCTGTGGCTGGTATGGCCTTTGGGTAAAACAATTCTGAAAAGTCTAGGAGGACCATTTTCCTGTTTGCTCAGGAAGCATCCGTCGTTTTGAGCAATTGCATCTTAGGAAACAGGCAATTTTGAGATCAAAGACTTTACGAAGAGAGAAATGTACATCCATTTCCTTCGTCCTGAAATGTATCTCAGCTATGAACCAACCACACTATAAAATGTTTTCCCTACTCCGAACCCAGTTCTTTTGTGTCGTGACCGCTAGCAAAGATCTTTTAATCACATGGTCCAGCGATCTGTTCTTCATGGCTTTGCTACAGATTCATGTTTTAAGTTCCAGGATTGTCAACACTTTGTCTGCCTTGTATACCAAAATTACCTGGCTCCTCTGCAGGAAGCTGGGGTGCGGCCATCCCTGCCGTCTTGGCTGCTATGGCTGGACTTCTTCCCCGACCTCTCCCTTCCCTGGGCAAGAGCAGAAGAGGGAGAAGGTTGACAAACTTTCTGGAGCCCCTCATGAGAAAGATCCAGGAGCTTTGGTCAAGCCACCAATAGCCCAGAACCTGTCTCCCCGCAGTCCCTTCAGAAGACTGTTCGCCCTAAAACCCTTAAGAGGGAGGCCAACAGGCCCACTAGGTGCTGCCCCCATTAAGCAAGGCCTGGCCCCAGATCTAGTTTTTCTGGGCAAGCCCCACTGCAATTAACCGACTGGTCCTCAGGGGAGCCAGTCAACTTACCGACGCACATTCTTCCTATGGTCTCTGAAGCCTTTAGCAAATGGATTGTTGTAGATCTTGAGTTTTGTGATCTTCAGAGAAAGAGAGGCAGTCAGCACCCATACTGAATGCTGCACTTGGAACTATCTTCTTCTGTCCGCCATTTTGCCAGTAAATGCTACAAAACCATGTGCCTACTAGGTGCATGCAAAGCTTACAACTCCCCACCAGGCCACTGCTGTGCTTCTAGTAGCTGGAATCCTTGGCTACAAACAGGCAAGCAGGGCCTGTTTTTGTGCAGCTTTGCCCAGGGGGCACCACGAATCATCAGCTTCTCTCCTGTGGGGATGGGGGGGTCAGGGTTAGGGTTAGGCTACTGAAAGGCTTGGCTTAGACAGCCATGGGCTGGAGAGGTGCTACCAGGTGCTGGAGAGCTGCTACCAGGCACCTGCTGCTTTACCGATCTTCTCGTGACTGCCAGGTATGAAACACCCACCAGCAAGAGCAGGAGGAGGCATGAGGAGAATGCTGGTCAGATGCTCACATTTAACTATACAACCCTGAGACTGGATTCTGTTTTGGATACAAGCCCACAAGCAGAAAAGCGGCAGCCACCAGCAGGGGGCCCCAGTGGGGGCCAAGTCAAACTCCAGTGCCCAACCGCAGCTCCAGTGCCCAACCTGCAGATCTTCCCTCCCTGAGTCACCATGTCTGTGCTGAGGACCAGCCCTGGACTGTCTTTGTAAGCAGCATTCTACAGACATACACCTTCTCATTCTGGTAGGCAGTGACAGAGGTGAAGACTGTCTCTGGAAAGCTGAAGGTATGGAAGATACTCCAGCGGGTGCTGAATAGGTCATCTGCCTGCATGACATGGAAACGCGGCTTATAGCGATGCATGGAGTGAAGGATGACCTGGGAGGGAAGAGAGAGGGGGGAGGCAACTCAGAAAGCATCTCCTTCAGGCCTGCACAACTTGATTTGTGGACCTCCTGGATGCCAAACTCTTTCCTCACCAGTGGACCACTATGACCTTTCTAGTTGTTAGAAATCACAAACACGGACCTAGATCCAAACCAACCTTTAAAAAATGGTATATGCCACCCTGTGAAGGAGTACTCTGTGTTCATCCCAAGGAAGTGATGTTGATTCAGGAAGAACTTTGCTTGAGACTTGAATCTTAAGTGTGGGGTGAGGTGGGCCTTTTCTAGGGACTAAGAGACCAGGAGCTGGGTCAGACGAGCTGCAAGGATTCCAAGGTGGAAGAGGCACAGTGAAGCAGGGGTCAAACAAAGTGTGCTGTGTGAAGAAAGCAGCAATGAGAATCCAAGAAAAGGGCAGTAAAAATCCGAAAGGGAGACAAGTTAGAGACAATGACTCAGTACAAGAAAAAACTAAAGAGCGACATAAAGTGAAGGGGTGGCAGCAATATTGTAAACAACAGGAAGCACTTGCCAATGGAGTTCAAAAGAAGAAAGAGAGAAGAAAGAGAGAGAGATCACCAGAGAAGCTGTGCATTCAGAGGCATAATCTGCCCAGCCAAAAAGATGAAAAGCTCATATCCAAAATAGCAGCTGATTGCAAGGAATATGTCCAGAGAATGGCTGTTTACTCTTTATGATGGACCATGTGATTGCTCTCTGATGAGTAAGCAGAGGGTGTACAAGGAATTTAAGGTAGCCAGTTTCGATGGAGTGAGACAATTGAGTGAGCAAGCAGGAATCTTGCCACAGGAATTAAGGGGCGTCCCTAACCTATTTTCCTTTGGCTAGCCTGATCGCCTAAGATGGAAATAAGAAGTAAAAGCCTTCTAATAGTTATGATTTAAGAAACCAAAGTGAAGATGAACAGAGCTCTACAGAACTCTGCTCTCAAATACATTTGGCATATATTTGTTACAAGCTTTTAGTGATGCTTGAAGAAAAATCAGTCTTGGAGCAGTAAGTAATCACACTAGTTGACAAAAGAAGACAAAGACTTATCGAGGTAAAGAAAGAAGGCACTGTAGCAGGAGCTGACAGAGAAAGCAACTCTATAAAAAAGGCAATCAAACGAGCTGCCCACTGGACTGCTAGAAACCAAAGACATACAGGCAGAAGAACTTAGAAACAGCTTGGAGGCTGTCCTAGAAAAAGTGGGCTTTCAAGTAGACATGTATTAGCAAACATCAGTTGAAACATGGCAATTTTTTAAAGTTGAACTCAGAAAGATTAGTAAGAGAAAATGCAGCAAGAACCTTTTGAGCAAAGCCTGGACTTTTTCTTCTGGCTGGGCTAGGACTACAAGCCCTGGAAAGTCTAATTTGGAAGCCCTGGAAGGAAGAACCGGAACCCAGCCTACCTTGTGTGCTGGATGGAGAGAAAGAAGAGCAAAAGCTAAAGCAGTTATAGGAGAAAAGAAGTAGAGGTTTGGGCTGCATTCAGGAGGGTTCTTCAAGGCATGAAATGTACACCTGAATAGTTTTGATGAGGCATTAGGGTGCTAAAGGACAATTAGGCCCATAGGTTGCTGTTTTTAAGGACTCCAGCAGTAATCTATAGTTCTGGGTTACAGGCTCCCATCCAAAAGAGAATTCAATCTGGGGCGAGATCAGCATTTGCATGGACAACTGTTGCAAGATGCATCAGAATGTGGGCCCCGGAGGCAGTAGACTTCCCTCAAAGAAGGCCTAATGATTAGGAGGCACAGGTGCTGCCTGAAATTAGGGATGTTACTCTGAGCAGCAAAGGCAGCCTAGGGGAGGGACATGCAAAGTATGCAAAAAGAGAAAACTGTTCAGTGTAGAGAAGACTCGCGGATTGTCAGTGAAAATAAGGAAGACATGGCGATGTTGCCGATGCTGCGGCCTTTCTGGTCCTGCTCTTGTTCCTCTCAGCAAAGTTCTCTCTAGCTTGTCCTCTACATGTGGCCAAGGGTGGTCTTTGCATTTTCTTGCCCTCCCAGGCCAGCCCTGCTATGCATTGATAGATGAATGCAATTTACAGGCCACTGACTCCCCACGACTCTGGGGTGTTCACAATTAAAAAGTGAGCAAAATGACAAAAGACCCACAGTGCTTCGTGTACATACGTGCCCCTGCTGGTCCAAGGTGTTGTTAGTCAGCTTGAGCTTCTGGAAGGAAACAGGCTCCTTCATCCAGTGGCTGCCGAGGGCAGGAGAATCTGGGTGGACATACGTCCGGCATGGGGGCCGTGGCTCTGCTTTCCCAGCAATCTCCCACTGATCCTTGTTCCACTGGGGAGAGGGAGAAGGAACACAAGGTCCTGTCTGCTGCCCGCCTTGCATGCTCCTCCTAGTAGCAATCTCCTTGTTCAAACGGTCAGAAAGGAAGCCCCTCCGTCCTCCACTGCTCAGCCGGCCTTCCCTATCTCTCAGCACAACCTCTAAGGGGGGAGGGTCCCACAGCAGGGATGCAGCCGGTCAGTAGATCAGGCCGCAGAGGAGAAGAGCTGTCAGCTGCTGAAGCGTTACAAGAGGACTCTGGGTGAGAGAGAGAGCAGGGCTGTACCCAGCTCCCTTGGGCAGCTGGGAAAAATAGCTCTGCCGCTCCACAAGAAGTCACAACCCTGATAATACAGTGAAGAGTTCGCGAGAAATTTTCAGAAACTGCAGGTGCCTCTTTAAGAAAGCTGTACGTCTGCATGTTGAGTCCATTTTGTTTTTTGCTGATTGCAGGGACTCCTTAGATTTTCCAAACTAAAATCTGATACCATCGGGCATCTCGTGTCCTTCTGAGCTGTCTGCAGGATTAGGCCCTAGAGACGCTGGCTTGGGGGGGTCCCGGTCCTCTTGGGAGGTGACAGAAGGTTGTGCTGAAGAAGTGGGTCACCAAATAGGTGCTACCTTGTTCTCTGCACTGTTTCTTACCCACCTAAAACCACTGGGCTGGGCTTTGGAGTGGACTGTCACCTGTATGCTGATGGCAGCCAGATCTTCCCCTCCCTCCCTTCTAACTCCTAGTAAGCAATCAGTCCCCCAAACTTTGCCTAATCTCACTGGGCTGGAAGACTGAGAACAGGCTGAAATGACAGCCGGACAAGATGGGGGAGAAAAGTGGGTCTGGGGACTGAGGTGAAGCCTGTCTCAGAAGGGTTTCGCTGCCTCAGAAGGAGGGGATGCTTCTTCACCCGCAGCCATCGCTGAATTTTCAGGGGACAAGCAGCAGTCTTCACAAACATGTCTGGTGTGCCACCCACCACCCTCCCTGGGTCAGGCCGACTTGGCTATCCACGGCTGGTTCCTGTTCATCCTGACTGCTGGGCGGCCTTTTACGCCGGGCCAGCCTCGAAGTGCCTGGAAACTGCAGTGGTGTAACATGCAGCGGCTGGGATCCTAACTAGTACAAGGTCCAGGATGGCCCACCTGGGACCGTTAAGATGCTGGGTTTAACCTTTAGAGCCCTAAACTCTGCAGGAGCTGATGATCTGCAGGGCAGCCGCTCCTGCTGGGAACCTGCCCGGTTACTCCGGCCAGCAGAAGAGGCCCTTCCACAGATGCCCCCTGGGAGAGGCCTTCTCCTGTGCCAGGCAAAGGATGCGCTCCCAGGGGGAGGCATTTGGCTCCCACTCCCCCAGCATACAGGCAGGCGGCAACACACGTCACTTTCGCCAAGCTTTAACTGTTCATTCTTTAGTGACTGGTTTCAATTTTGGTTCTTATGCGGACTGCATCCATTTTATTCTTATGTTTTATACCCTGTATTTGTTATTGTTGTTAACTACCAATTCAGTAAATAAACCCATCAGCCCTTCTCCAGTTCCAGTTGCCAGCCAAGATCCGAAGGCCCCGGAATCTCTGCGCTCAGCATCTCATCTGGTGGGAACCGCTTCCCATTTACCTTGTACCTGAAGTTGTCCGTTGGCATGAAATCGACCAGCATGTGATACTTAGCATACGGGATCAAGCCAGTGACTTTGATCTTGCATTGTGGAAACATTCGTCTGCGGAAAGGAAGAGATTGTCTGTGGTCTTAAAACAGCCCCTCCGTGAGGATTCGAACTGCTGCTGCTGCTGCCCTGCTTTTGGTGGAGCTCCAACATCATTGTCTTTTATGGGTTTCCATTTTTTTCTGTGCCATCTTTCCCCCTCACCAGAAATAGCTACGATGGCTCTTGACTGACTGGATCAGGGGCAGCCTCAGACCGCTTTGGCCACATGCAGAGGCTGGTGTTTGCTTGGCCATCTAAGTAGGGGGCCTTGGTATATATTTCTAAACAAGGCTCTAGGTCTCAAAAAATATACAGTGATCCTTCAGAAGACCGGGGAGGAAAGCACCTTCTGGGGTTGCCAGGAGCCTATCAAGGCCTGTTTCCCATGGCCTCTTTAGGGCCCAAAGGAGCCCCAGTGAGCTTTGATGCTATGACAGTTGTGGCAATACCAAATTGCATTCCTAGATTTCACCTGTGGCCCCTTGGAAGAGATGGCGTGGTTTGTCTCTCCACTTCCCAATAGGGAAAAAGAGCAGCTCCAGGCAGGTGAGTCCTCTTTGAATTGTCCACTTGTGGCACTGTGGACAAGCCTTCTTAATTGGTTTTTTTTTTATTATTCTTAGGTCCTTAATCTTGTATGACTGATATTAAATATGTTTCCTGTCTCAATTATCTTCTTCCATCAAGAATCTTTTTTATGGGGTAGAAATTTCCTACGATCTTTACACAGTGCCAAGTCTGGGGATGTTGATTAGGCCCTAGCCAATATATCTACATTAATAGCTACGTATCGCGGCAGAAGAATAAAGTGTAATTTCGAAATCAGAACTGCCGAGCAAAGACATTCCCAGGAAAGTTGGCTGTTCCCCAGCCAAGTGCATATGGGGGTCCTGCTCAGGGTTTATGGGGGAAGCTGAGCACCCTTGTCCTTGCTCCCAAACAACCATTCAGCACGAGACTTTAGAGGGGCATTGCTCACCTCCCAGTTTTGGTAATAATCATCTCTGTTCCTGCATGGTGAAACTTGGTCCAAAGGTCCAGGTCTTGAAGAGTGACTGCCACGGAGCTGTGAGGTGGAGCAGAGGAGGTCTCCAAAGGGCCAGGTTGAGCCTGGAAGTCTTTGAAGGAATGGGACGAGAGAACCACGGTTTGAGAACAGGAGCCATTCCCCATGACTCTGCCATTCTAGTGACCGTGGGCCAGGCCCCCAACAGGACTACCTTCAGCAGCAGCCCCCAGCCTGCCTCCCACTTTCATTCCTGCATAGATTCTGTCTGTGGGATCCCCCAGGCCCAGGGGAATTTGGCTGGAGTAGGAATGATGTTCCCCAGCATTTTGGTTTTAACACATACTCTTAACATCGATATGTTTACAACTATTTCTGAAAATAATCTGAAATTAAAAGATGCATGCACGGCACGAGAAAGTACATCCAATTTGCTGCATAACATTAGACTCCCAATATCTCCTTAGCGCAAGAACCTGAAAAGCTATTGAATGGGTTTGAGACCGTTAGGTGGAGAGCGCCAGTTGCAGCCACAACATTTGTTTCTCCGCCAACTCTTACATCCAGCCATTCTAATTTGTTTGTTTGTAAAGAGCTGACATCACTGTGCTGCAGGGCTTGGGGTCCAAAACTTGCCATATAAACTAAGAAGTATCTGATGTAACACACAGCAGGAATTTCAGAATTCTTCAAAACATAATTCAGTCTTACAAAAAAAAAAAAGCAATTTCTAGGTGGCATTAGATCTCAAATTAATGGCTTTTTCTCTTCTCAGTTCCATTTTCTCTGAGAAAAGAACATTCAGACCCAAAGCTGATTTCCCATTTGGGGGGGGGGCAAGGTTCCCACCTGTACTGCCTGTGCCCCCTTCATAAACTTATCTCAGGCTGCCCTCCAGCCTCTGGCTAAGGAGACCTGCAGGGCAATACGTGGAGCTGCTGGAGAGAATTGGCCACCCCGGGGAGCCATGTGCCAGTCACAGGTCCACTCTAGGAGCCCACGAAGCTGCACACAGTGGCTGAAAGTGCGATCCCATGTTTGGGTGGGCGTTTGGAAGGGACCGCCAGACAACCAAGCAGCGCTTGTAGATTGGGGCTCCTTCTGGACCAGGATCCCTGACCCTTTGCTCCCTGAGCTCTTCCCAGATGCTGAGGCTCAGCCCAGGGGTCTGGGGCCACAGGGGCAGGAGCACTTCAGCCATGCCACTCTCAGCCAGAGTCCCTCCGCACCGTGGAGGCTTGCCCCATCCTCCACCAGCACGCAGCTGGTTTCACTCCAGGACTGCAGCTTGCACCTCTGGCCACTGCAGAATCAAGGGTGCCTGAGTAAGAGGGAAGGGAGAGCTCTCTGAATGGTGAAAAGGAGATACCAAGAGATGCCAAGAGATCAAACCCCTGGAGCACTGCCTGGGAGCCCTGCATGCCTAGAAATTCAGGGTGCCATGAAGCCAAAGCAGGAGTCAGGACTGGAACCCCACTGGCACAGCAGAGGCTCAGCC